GAATTCGACCTAGCTAACTAGCTAGTGTCGAAAATCCTGCCACCGTCGGAACTCGAACCTAGGACCCCGCTCAGAGGGACTACAGTTACACAAGTTGGATGCCCTGAACCATCTCTACCAGTGGAGGACAAGTCAAAATAACAACAGTTTATTAGGGCCTTTTTACAATGTTCCAAAATCTTACTCGTACCAAAACAATGCTTCTGTAATCAGATTGCCTGGAGAGAAGAACCAAGTTTAAATGCTTCTAATCGTCCAACAGAGAAAGTCCAAATACGTTGCCAAATCACCAATATCAAGAAAGAGTGTCAACTTGGACGAAAGCGCAGTTGGCAGGTACTTAATGACAAACGGCACAATAACTTGCAATCACTTCCTACTAATTTCTCATCTTAGGCGCCAACCAGCTATATAGTCAGCGCCGCTGCCAGTCCAGATTCCTTTCGGCTTGTTGGATCGTGTACCGCCACGTAGACTTCAGCCGCCTCAATATAGAGCTGGCGCGAACTCATATGTTCGTCATTCATACAGCACTTATTAAATCAGGTGTGACAACGCAAACACCGCCTTTTGAGTTTTTCTATGTCATGCATCTGATAATGACCCATTTGTGGGTTATTGACTATTTGGCCAGCAGACGCCAAGGACTCAACGGCGCTATACCAAGACAACCCATGATCGATTGATTACATAAATGTTATTCTATGCACACGCCGCCGTTATAATTAAAGGAAACACCGTTACTACAGTACTGAATATAACGACACAGAATTTTAAATGAGAACTCAACTAATAATCTAGTGTCAAATATCGCAAGTAAGACCGAATATTATTGTCGGGAATGTACTGAAAGTAATTGTTAACTATTTCAGATTAAGTTACCTTTTTATAATAAGATAATTTGAAATAATCAATGTATTAAAAAAGCTATGAAGGCCATGGGAAAGTTATATAAAATAAAAGAATCAACAGTTTTAATAATTGGAAGAACAGTTCGTACAACATTGAACTTCAAAACAAGAACTAAGACAAAACTTAACTATGCTGACCGTTCCCGATCTCTCAAAAACTGCAGATATACGTGTTTTTTTTTTTAAATTTATTTCTACCTGATCGGCATTTCTGCCTTTCAGGGGTGTTCATTGTACAATATTCTACACATTAACTTTGAGGGATGGACATCCGCATGCGTTACCTCCTCTCTCAGGGGTTTGATAAAACATTCTTTGAGAAGAAACTGTGGATAACAGTTTTTTGGAGTTATACGTGATAATTTTGAGGAGAGGGTGTTAGTGGGTGGAATTTTTGGAAAGTGGAAGATGGGTAGGTGATTTAAGGTGGACGAAGAGAGTCTTTAGGGAATCGTGATCTTATTCTTTTTGATGAACCATACGTTTTACTTAGCTTGAATATTGTTGTACTGCGCGATTGGGGAAGGGATGAGAAGAATTTATCATAATTTGTCATAAGATTTATATGTTCGTTAATGGATGATATATTTAGTTCATTTTGGATTTGTATGTTGCTTATGAACCAAGGAGCTTTAATGATCTTCCTGAGAAATTTATTTTGTATTCTTTCTATTTTATTTAGGTTTGTATTTGCGTCATTATTCCAGATCGGGCAGGCATATGTGAGGGTTGGTCTTATTATTGTTTTATAGATGATTAAGCCGCAGTCAGTGCTAAGTTCGGAATTTTTATTTATTATTGGATATAGTTTAGATATTTTTGCATACGTTTTATCTGTTATAGATTTGATGTGTTGTTTCCAGTTAAGTTTGGTGTCAAGTAGTACGCCTAAGTATTTTTCTGGTGTATTTCTACTCATCCATTCTATATTTGTGTTTTGGAAGCTGAGGAGGGGTGGTTGAGGAGGTTTGCGGAGTGTGAATATTCAGATATGCCTTAATTTTCGTGTTCGTCTAAAAGCTTAGGTTGTTTGGGAAAACGCAAGAGTCCCGAAATGCAGATGGAAGATATAATAGGACAGACAATGAAGGATCTCAATCGAAGGTTGTTGGAGTATGTAAACATGCAGCTACATGGAAAATAATGAATTGTAATGCTTCTTCGAATATAAGCCAGGAGCTAGAAAAATTTACTATGGAGATATTAAAAAAAGTAATGCGAATTGGGGGCAGGCGGAATGCCTTTAACGAAGAAGAAAGTAATACATTCGTCCTCGGTTTTCAGTACACCAAATTGAAAGTATCTTGAGATATATTTTTTTGGTATTCGCGCATTGTTACATCCCCTTGTAGTTTTATCATGCATAAAGCTGCCGGTATTACCCATGGCAACTGAAACGAGATGTTGACCACGTATCCTGTAACTGACTTGTCTTCTTTCCCGCCTGCAAATTGTGAAATTCGTTGAGAATTTCATAGTTTCAGACACAGTAATACTTGTGTACTCGCGAAAAAGGCGAAAGCCGTTCTATTAGTAACGTTTCTGTATTAGTTGAAATTGTGAAATCAGACTGAACGGACGACTTCGGGAGTATCTCATGTACAGAAATGGATCTACTAATTTTGCATATAACCTGGAAGTTGGGTTTGTCAATGCTTCGGAGCATATTTGTGCAAAATTAGAAATAACATAGTTCAATTAGATATATATGAGACAGATACAGTCTTGTTTTATTGCCCCACCTTCAGCGCGATTTTTTTCTGTTGTCTGCTCCAGAGACTTGTTTCCCTAAGCAAGCAGCGCCTCGTTTACGCACCGGAGGCGCTCCGCGTCTCCGTCGCTTTCTTGCTTCCTCTTCGACTTCCACTCACAAGATGGAGCGGTGTCGGGCGGCAACTGCTGAAGCCTCCCCGTTCCCTCAGCCCTCCCCACCCCACCTCACCCTCCCCCGGTTGCCCTCGCGCCGCTCGTCCCGAGAGCCTGCAAGGCGCGGCGCGGCGCGGCGGTCCGTTTCGCTACGCCGTTTCCTTCTGCTCGCCCCACGGACAACTTGGGCCGTTAGCGTGCTCCTCCCCTTTCCTCCCCCTCACCCTTTCTTCGCCACCCGCGCTCGGAGCTTCGCTGCTGAAAAGTTGGCAGCGGCCCTGCCCGTGTGTCTTTTAATTCGCCTTTCCCTCTGTCGTGGGCCGCCTCCGAGAGCGGGGCCAGGGATGTCCATGATAGCGTGGGCCATCCGCGCGTCGTTCCTGAGCTCGCCGCTATGCTTTCCGTTGTTTTGTTGGGTGAAGTGGCACCGGAGCTGGTGCTCGGGATACGCGTGGGGATTTTGAAGAGTGTAGGGATAATAAAAAATGATTAATTGTTGATGAATCAAATTGCGAGCAAGCAATTAAACGAATGGTACGGAAAGTAGGACAACCCCTGGAAAACTTTCAAATGTTGCATGTTTTTTCCCTCACGCTTTGCATTTGGTGTGATGGGATTTAACCCGAGTACCTTGGAAGACCGTGGAAGACAAGCACGCTGGTTACCGAGCCTTTGGTCTCATTTGCTGTATTTAAAAAACGGATGTTGAACTTCATTCTATCGCATTTGTTCTGCTCTTTGTCCACAGCTCAGACCTTCGTCGTCTTCATTAGAATCAGCATTGCAGTATACTGATTGCCGGGTTAATGTTTCGAGTGAAAGCACATCCTCTACGGAATATTGGCCTTCAGTGACAGAACATCGTATTCATCATATCGCGCCATTGTGTTTTAAATCGTAAAATGCTCGCTGTCTGGCTGTGTGTTCGAATTTTCCAGCTGACTAATGTATTTGCCTCTTAACTTTCAGATATATCCCATTGAGCTAAATGTCTGAGAACCCCACCTTCCCGTTTAATTGTAAAATTATATTCACGGTAGTCTACTTGAATTAGAAGTGCTCCACAAAAGAAATATTCTAGATTACAAGACAGCCAGAGACTAAAACATATTGCTCAAACACGTATCGATAGTACAATGTTTGATCGGGATTGTGACCATTTGACTTACCAATCCTTGAATGCAATCTCATTTGGGGATGCTTGGACCTGTGGAGATATTTCTTCGCAGCGTATCGGCAGTGCCAAAGCTTTTATTAGTGTTAAGTACGTGTTTTTTATTAGTCCAATATGTGTGTTTTCTCTGTAATATTACCCATTTGTTGACAAAACTAATATGTAGAACAAAATACATTAGTGGAGTGAATCTTGTAAACTGAAATACAGAAGATCGGGAAAAGATTTGCAACGCTTTTTAAATGTCCTCGAGAAAGCGTCTCTCATTATTTCCCTAGATATCGATAAATAAAGTTTCGCGAGTATTATTTAAATGTTACGTCGCTTGTTGTTGCTGTAAGGGATGAAATTTTCTTACTTCTGTACTGCAGCTTGCGGTGCCGTTTTGGACGCCCTGTTTCGGCGGCGGGCAGCGGTCTCTTCGGAAGCAAGAAACGCTCGAAGTTAGCGAACATCTCTCCCACCCGGTCAGCCGCCGACCCTCGTCCCTTTTCTCGGTTCCGTCTCTCTTTCGCTTCCCGCTCGCGCTCCCCGCGCGTCGAACCAGCGCCTTCCTCCGCGCCTCCGCTGCGACCGGCCCAGCGCGGCTCCGTCTCGACCCCGCGGCCAGCGCTCTCGCGTCGCGAAGGCACAGACATGCCTCCTGTGGAGACTCATTAAACTGGGATTTACTCGCTTCACGAAACCTGGTCTCTCCTAATTGGTAATGGACATGCAGGGCGCTTTTCATGTGATGTAAACATGGCAAAGATGTTCTTCGGTCACCCCTTGTAAAGAGAAGAACCGACAAACCCTTGAAGAAAACACTAACTTCCTTGGAATGTATTCGTTGTTATCTGATTAGCTGACTCATCTTTCGAGCTTCTAATTAGAAATAAGTTACGAAATTAAGTGAACCATTTGTAACTAATTTCTTACTCTCGGAGTAGGTCGCTGCAGTTGTGCGTGAGCTCCTGCGCCCCTTATTCAATTTGTAAACATTGTACACCTGAAACTTAGCAAGAAAAAAGCGTGAAATGAATATGGTTTCACGTTGCAGAGTAAAGTATATGGGAACCCTCTTTACCGTAAACTCTCCCTATTGGTAATTTTGGAGCAGATCGGTACATTCGGTTGTATTTCGAATAATTTCTTTCGTGTAACATAATGCCGGTACAGTTTCCGAGAGGTAGAGTTAAAAAAAAGGCGTAAACTGTTGTCCTTTATTTCAACTCTTGAGAAGTTGCACATCTCGATATTTTGTAGGGTAAGCTCTTCTATATTTAATTTTTTTAAAACATCTATTGCTTGATGGTTAGACGGGCCGCGATAATTCAGTGGCAACACCGTCCCCTCCGCAGCATCATTAGCGAGGAGGTGCAAAGATTCGACGGTGACAGTTTTGATACTAGGTACAAAGCTTTTTGAATTGAATTGAATTTGCCTAATTTAACGTGGCGAGACTGGTAGCTGGGTTAAATTCACCTAATGCCTAGAGAAGAATTTTGATGGCCTGATGTTCTGATCGGTTGTTTTCTGCGGGGTCTCAGATGTTTACCAAGCGAACGTTGGCATGCTACATAGTGAAAATGCATTTAGTCACTGACTGGAAGAGAATTCGGTAGCTTTCTGTGGATTTTCCTATCAGAACCAGGCGAATGCTGGAGCAGCGTCCTTACGTACGGGACATTGACCGTACCGTCGCGAAGTCATCCTTTCCTCATCCTTGTCTCTTTCTCTTCCCGTACACACACATACTCTTAGATGCACAATACTACCACACGTGTCAATAGCAATTGAGTCACGGCTGGGGTTGTGCCGCGGTGGATAAGTTTAATGACGAGAACAACTGCAAGCCAGGTCGGCGCCGGATTTCAAGTTCTAACGGCAGGCAAATCGCCACCTCCCGAGATGTAACGTGCACTACATTATGGGACTAATGTAATAAGTAGTTGTCGCTCCCGGAATCAATATGTACTCTCACACACCATCTGATGACTCAAATTATTGATTTCACAGAGTACCACAGTCGCATCATAGTCTCAAGCTCGTGTTCTGTAGCGTCCAGACGCGCGCAGCTTCGGCCTTATCTAACTGAATGATGCGCCTTGGTTTCTCCTTCGTTGGCAGCGATAACGCCACTTCCGTCTTTCTGGCCAGTGGTAAAGTATTTCCTGCCAGTAGTTAGTGGAGCGTTGCTACCGTTCGTCTGCCTTTTGTGGATGAATAATACTACAACGATCCGCTCGCTAATGATTCACAAGAATTGGAAGGGGATGACTGTGAGCAGCCTGACATATTTCTCCGTCGCGTCTGGAGAAAAAAAAATTCGCATATGTTCGACGTCCTTTATGACTTCGTAAGACATTGAATTCTTTTACATATGTAATAAGTTATTCTTTTTTGTGTTCCTGAGTTTCCCAGGCTCCTGCCAGGCGAATGTTTCTTGAGATTGTTGAAAAATGACGATGAAACAAAAGCTAATAATTAGATTGGTGAATGTGGTTTCTAATTTCCTTTACCAGTCAGTTCAATTTAAATATAATGAAACTTATGCTTTTTGTGTTTTATTGACTAAGGGTTTGTAACTGAGATTATTCTTCGCCGCCGAACTGAATCACGTTAAAATATTTGCGAGTGATTACTGTTTCCTTGTAGCATTTATATCGTTTTTGCCGAGATATTTCCATAACTCTACTCAAATGAATGTCCCATAGGATTATACTCAAAACTTCGGAATCAGTTAACTGATTGTTCAAAATAATATCTATTTTATTTCAAAAATGTAAGTCAGGTTAGTTGAAAGAATCATTACGGAATTCATTGAGAGTAATTGTCTTTATACAGAGTACTCCTGCGTTAAGTTTGAAACAGGGATATTGCGTTGGAAATTTCTAAGAGGTAATGCAAACCGTTGCTTTTCGAAATACAAGTATCGCAATGCGGAAAAAATGACGAAATATTCCCCTGAATTTCGCAACGACACTCATGAACGTCGCTAGTGCTTAATTCCAATCGGCTTCATTATCCATTCCTTTAGAAGTAGTTTGTATGACAAAATATGCACTGTAAAAAGTGTGCGTAATGTTTTGGACTTTTGTATCACTTCAGAGCGGCAAAACGCTCACTGTCGAGCTTGGGTGATAAAACCTCGCTCGTATCTTCCATTGCTGTGTTCCAGGAAAGGTGATATGCTGTGCGGTTGCAGAGAAAATAGACAAAGAATATACATCAAGTCACGACAAACAACATTTAATAACTTCTAAAATAAAGCAGATAGCGAAAACACTTTCTCGAAATTTTCTCTTCAAAAAGTGGTGTTGGTAACTACCATACTGACCGTAACGTAAATTTTAGCACTATCTTGTATTTGTTCAGTAATCTCTCTACGTTATATAACCTTAATTTGATTATCAGATGTATTGTGTTGAACATTATAATATAATAAGGGTTATTTAGAATCATCGTCATTCGTAATGACACATTATACATTATTTATTGAGTCCAACGTGCATCTAAGTATCCTTGTTTGTGTATTTCTATTTTCATAGAAAGTGGAGTGTGTTGTGTGCGTGGGAGACCGAGAGGCTGCTGCGCATTGGATCTAATGCAACTGACATAGTCTTGGTAATTGTGTTGCAGGCGGCGTACGCCGGCGGGTACGGCGCCGCGGCAGCGGCAGCGGCTGCGGCGGTGGGCGGCGGCGCCGGCCCTGGAGGGGGGTTAGGGCCCGGAGGCGGCGCGGGCCCTGGCCCGGGCCCCGGCGCCGACCCCGGACCCTTTGGGCCCGACTCGCCCTACTTCCCTTTCACCACCCCGAGGCGCGCAGCCCCGCCGCCCGGGAACCTCGTGCCCGGTGAGTAGTCGCTGCCAACCCCACTGCTGCGACCTCCACGCTCCGTGGCGCGAGCGCAGCGTCGGAGGCAGGCTGATACAATGGATTTCTCGGGGGTCGCCCCTCTACCGTGATTCTTCAGCTAAGGAAAGTCGGCACTCTCGTCTTGATTGAATGCCTAAGTCTTATATTATAAAGAGCTAAAATCAATCTAAGTAAATAAAATCGTCAGAGAGACGTAGAGCCCGAGAAATTTTTCGCTTCCCTTCATCAATCTAATGGCTGTATTGTCTTTCAACATTGTAGAAGTAGTTTTAATAATTAGTTTCCTGGTAGAAAAAACGTCACACAATCGTGGCAGAGTTACAGCTTGAAGGGATACAATCCGATTATAGGATTGTGGTTTTCATGGGCCCTCGAATGTCGCATGAAAACTCATACGAAATTTGTTTCTCAAAGTGCAGATAATCGTTTGTGTGTGTAAGAACAAAAATGAAGATGCTGATGATATTCGTGTATAAAAAAAATACAGAGGTGAACTGAAATTAAAATTCACTTCCGAAAGTACGTCGTTATTGCAAAAGACCGTGGGTGGTAAATATTGTGAGCTTTTAATAATTCAATAAGTTAAGAATTCGTAATGTTATAAATTATACGAAAATAGTCAAATTTACATTCTCTACACGAACGGCCATGATTGCATTCATGGAGGTATAAGGCCTGTATAGTGCGGATGGTCAATTAACTTAATTGATATTAGAATTTCCAGACATTTACTTGCAATGTATTCATTGGGCCAACTCAGTGGTTTTGAATCTTCAAATTTGTGCTAGGCGAATGTGATGAAAGTAAGGAAACTTAACCAGCAACCAAGTCCAGGAAACACAATTCATCTTAAAATGCATAGCATGTAATAATCTCTTCTGGGTGTATAAAATGATTAACATTACATTCAGAAGTATCACTCAAAGTTTTGCGAGGGAAATCATGTATGTGAACTTACCTTGATACCAGAAAAATACTTTCATACAAGCTTAATTCAATAAAGAATCTCCTCCGCAGAAAGGGTTATCTGATGTGACCCTTGCCCTTGTTTATTTGTCACAACCGTGATTGTGTGCAATATTTACAAATGTTTATACACCGTGTATTCTAGAGACTGTCAAAGTATTCTAGTAGCTTCCATTTGCAGTTCTCTCTTTCTGTGGAGTTGTATTTAAAATTGTTCATGTGTATTCGAGATAATTGATCGCACCACGATGTAATTAATAAAGATCGATGTACAGTCTAATAGTAATAAATCTTACTTGACATATTCTTTGGTACTTTATATGCATTGACAACATATTTCTAGAAATTGATTAGTATTCGTCTAGTTTTTACGAACTGCAGGTGTCAAAATTTCTATCCCAATTTGTGTGCTACGAATGTATAAAAGCGTTTCCGATGTAATTTGAAAGGTGGTTGGGAATGTGAGTTGTCACGCCGCTGGCGTATTTGTCGTGTAAGGAGAACGATTGGCAGCGGATTCCCCGGCGGGATGAGGGGCAGCGGGGCGCGCGGCAGCGAACGCGACCCGCCGCCTACGCAGCTCCACTAATGTGCCAGTTATGGCCGCAGCCGCCCTCAGGGACAAAGGGGGAGGCAGCAGAGGAGGTGGCCGAACGGCTCGGGGCTTAATTCTCCCTTCCCTCCACCGCCACCTCCCCATGCGCCTGTCTC